TTTGAATTTTTATGAAGTATTGTAATTGTAAGATTTACTTTTTTATTTAATATTTAGTTTGTCACAGATGGGGGCCGTGACAAACGTGAATTTTTGTAATTCCCCCAAATTATTTGAATTCATTTATTTTTAATAAAAAAAAAATGTTTACCACAGAATAAATCCGTGACAAAATATGCACGACATGTTTGTCATGAATTTATTCCGTGACAAAATGTGAAGTTTCAAATTTTTTAATTCCCGCCTCGGATCAGTACGAAAAAATCCTGAACAAATTTTTAAGCGTTGTCACAGATTCATTCGTGACAAATGTTTTTTCGACAAAATTGAGCGGGGAGGCTTTTCCGGTGAAGCTTTTGTCATGGAAGTCTGCCGTGACAAAGCTTTGTCATGATAAGGGTTCGTGACAAACTTTTGTCACGCCCAAACAATCACGAAAAAATCTTTGACAAAGTTCTTTGTCACGGATTTTTTTAACTACGGTCCGTGACAAACTGCCTCTTTTTTGTAGTGTTTTTACAATGCACAGCCTCACGCAGTGGCGGAGCCACCTTACTTCAAAGGTGTTCACATGAACACCTAGAATTTTGAAAAATGTGTTAGTATACATGTATAAATTTAGTTTAATTATTTATTGTCTTCCGAAATTTTAATTATAGAAAAAAAAAATGAACACCCAAAACTCATATCACAGATCCACCGGCCTCACGTATAAATTTGTTTTATATAAACCGGTTGACTTTACAAATTTATCCCTACTAAAATTGTTTTATTTGATTCTATGATTCTATCTACTTGCAAAATATTTATGTAATCCTTGGGTTTATGGTGGAGGCACATTGGTGAAATTGTTTTCTTTCTATCAACATATCTATGGTGCACGATTATTTAGGGAAAGTTCCCGAAATATGACTAAAACAGTTTCAAAATTCCAAAATATGTCTGTTATGTTTTGTATTCCCAAAATAGGACTAATTACTGCTATGTTTAGAAAATACTGCCATGTTTGAAGTTTGGTACTGCCAAAACATGGCAGTAATTAATTCTATTTTGTTAATAAAAACATGGCAGTCCTATTTTGGTATTTTCAAACTGTTTTAGTCTCATTTCGGGTAATATCTCGATTATTTAATTTTCTGTATATATGCATGGTGGAGGCCCCTCAGGTGTAAGACAACATCGTTTGGTCGGAGGAATGTGTTCGAGCTCGCCATTGTAGTCCCTCAGGTCCCAGTCCGTAGCCATCACTAAGAAGCCATATTTCGACACAAGAAGGTTACCGCCGCTCAGGGAAGGATCTATGTTAGGGCTAGATGGGCTGAAGTCTAGGACAAAGTAAAAAAATATTATTTTTTAAGTGATTGTTTTTAAAAAATTCCATCCAACTCACTCCAAATTTTTCTATAACCCAGTCCAATTTTTTAGCCTAGCCCATAAAACAAAATCTAACCATTTAAAACTTTGATCTAAATGTATATGCATCATCTCCCACTTAATAAGTGGCATTTAGTATATACGTATAAGGGCCATAAACCCATAAGGCATAAATGTAATAAATACAATAAAATATGACTCAATTAAGAGATTGACCGGCATGTTTACAACAACTTGTATGCTTGAGTGTCTTAGAGAACATTGCTCAAAAGTGAGTTCTCAGGCAGAAGTTCATAATGTATAGACCTTCAAAAATTTGTGTACATCTCCCACATAATGTTTTCAACACACTTTCCATGTCTTGAATTTGTGTTCAATTTACTTTCGACGCATATAGTTATGGAGTAACAAGTATTCTCTGTCAAGGCCTTCAAAAAAAATCATTGGAGTGTCTTGATAGCCATGAGATATGTTTCTACTACACAACTTATTCTCGGGGAATTGACAAAAAAATGCATGAGAATGCTTTCCTAAAGAAGTAAAAGAGTTTTACTCAAAACACGAAATTCATGTGCTGGAGTTGAATTCTAAATATATGGTTGATCGTTGCCGATAAGAAACTACACTTGAGCATCATTATCACTTTAATATTTTTCAATGAGCCAATAGACTTTATATCGATGGAGTTAAGGACCCGGTTTAATGATAAATCAATGAAACTCCTTTCTTTGAGTGCTTTGATCATTGGATCCCAAAAATTCACGAGTCTTTCATTAATGTAGATGCTATTTGTACTCTTGCAAGGATTTCTATCCCCAAGATTTTAGTAGTCAGGATATTTGTGCTTTGGATCAGAATTCAAGTTGCAACACCATGTTCATGATGTGATTCATTATATAAAGTCTCAAGTATCTACTACACTTGTTGAATTATGAGAGGATTTGACTAAAAGCAGAAGATCTTATTCATATGTTATAATGAGCAGATTGATTTCTCTTGTATTGATCTTACTGTTTCTACTGCAACAGCAGGTCGATCATTTTCTGTCATGAAACCTCTAAAGACAACACTTGGCAACAAAATGGATGATAACTTTCTTGCTGATTACATGACACTTTATATTAAAAAAGATCTTACTCTTAGTATAGATGTAGACTCTATTATTGACGAGTTATTTGTTTCAAAGCTTCATCGAGAACAAATTTACAGGAAAACTCTTATATTTGCTTTTTTGCTCATTTTGAATTTTTTTTAATGTATTATCGTTTAAGTGTTTCAGTCCACCCATACGTGAAATTCTCGATCCTCCCTTGCCGCCGCTGGTTTTTTTGCTCCGCTATCGCGGGTAGTAGGACACTGATTTGCGACATATATGTTGGTCTCGCGAGATGCGGCACTGGTCTCCATTTCCATTGAATACAAGGCTATGGAGTTTGCGTGTAGGGACATAATAGGCATTATGTTTATATTTTTAATACTTAATTTTAATTAAAGTCTATGAATAGCCTAATTATAACTATAGGACCGCAAACACATTAAGGTAACCTCTTCATAATTTAATCAAATTAAACTTGTTCATTATTGATGGAATACACTACATAGCTCGTTTGGTAGTTTACACGTTAAATTTGACACGCGAAATGATTGCATGGAAAGTTTGGAGAAACAATCACTTCACCTGTAAAATTGATTATATTGCTTGGCGAGATATGTAATAATTTATTTTTAAGTTGCACGTGATGTCATTGAAATGCTTTATAAAAAATATGCAAAATATGTTACCCCCACTATAAAATACTTTAAATGATGGATGCAAAACGATTTTTTAAAAGTATCCTATAATTTACATTAAATAGTCAAGTCAAATAGTGTAAACTTGTTACATCTCTACACTTCGCATGTAAAGTAATTGTTTTATATTTCAAACGGACCCTAAGTAAAAACTAATCAAATCCGGAATACTAAAAATATGCAAACTTAACAATCGATAAAAACAATAAAAGACCACGAGGGCCAGAAGATGAGCAGAGCCAAAGAGGATTGATGATTGTTTAGTTAGAGATACCCCACAATAGTGCACTTGTAATTAAGGGTGTTACTCGTTTCGGTTTCATCAATTTCGGTTTTAAAAAAGGTGAAACGGAGAATCAAATTGCACTACTTGAGCCGATTTCGTTTTGGTTAATTTCTATTATTTTGTGTCGGTTTCGGTCGGTTTTAACCCGTTTTTTCAATTTTTGTCAGACAAATTTTAACCCAAAAGGTGTAACTATAAACTGAACCGCAAATGGTTAATCGGTTAGAGTCGGTTTCGGTTTTGGTCAGTTCAGTTTCAGTCAATTTATTTGTCGGTTTCGATTATTTGTTTTTTTTTGTTCGCCCTACTTGTAACATACTAATTTCAAATGTGGATCTACTTTGACTTGAACCTGGTGTGTTTTTACGCTTTTTGGAAGAGTTTTTTCCATCACTTAATTTAAATGACGTCATTAAAGTAAGTTTAAGTAAAGTTGATTCAAATATAAAGTCATGATCCGGTGTAAAACACAACGAATAAAGAGTATCACATTTAATAAGATCTAGAAGCTAATTAAAAAGTGTGGTAGCATTTTAGAAAATAATTAAAAGAATGAATTATATGCATTAACTGGAACATCAAGATGCAATATAGAAGGCGAGTGCACTTAATATTATATGTGTTACCCGCACGGGTAGCTCAGTTGGTCGAGCGGTGGGAAAAATTGGACGTAGACCAAGGTTCGAATCCCGCAGCGGCCAAAAGGTGGTTTTCAGAACCTGAAATAAGACTGGCCCTCTGGTGCGCATGGGTAAAGGTCTACTGCCGCTTTGCCGACTGAGTCACCGTGATTTACTCCCCCACCATCCTGTCGGGTCGGGGTGGGGGGGTCCTTGGGGTTGGGGATTCAACCTTTTGGACGTAGAAGGCGAGTGCATTCGTGCAATTTTGTCATCGAATAATATGCATTGGTTTGGACGTCAAGGTTCATTATAAAAAAAGGTAAAGGCGCATCTGTGCTTTGTGTTCATTTTGCATGGGAAGCACTCATTTTGCATGTGGGGCTCTAAGGGAGGGTTTGTAAAAGAAACAAGAAAGTGATTTTTATCTTTGGGAGAACTATCAAATAAACCCTCGAACTTTCATAAAAAGTGCAAATAAACCCTTTTATAAGTGGTTCTGTCCGGTCGTTGTCATTTGGGGCGGTTTACGGTGAAATTTTTTGATGAAATTTTTTAAAATCTTCTTCATTAAGTCTAGTTACTCATACCAAATTTCAGATAAACATTCAATTGGGAAGACGATCAAATGAATTTATGAAGATAACTGCGCAGTTAGGCAGGGCAGTGTTGGGACGTGAATATTTAGTGGGCACATTTGATTGCCACGTAATTTGTATATTATTCATGTAATTAAGCATCATGTATTTAAGAGATAAACTTAACATTAAGGATAAAGATGAAGGAACATGGCTGAGTTTTAAAGTAGGAAACAGGGGTGGCTACTTCAACTAATTCCTTATTCCACTCTAGAAGAATAGCAAATCAGTATGGGAGCTTCACCTTTAGTCGTATATATATAGTTGTAATATCATTGAATAAATGAGAGAGCACTATTGTATTCATACACACAAAATTCACTCTCTATTATTGCTTACACAATCCAAGAGTGATTCATATATTGTTATTATTATTATTATTATTATTATTATTATTATTATTATTATTATTTAATTATTCGAGTCTTGCACGATCCCTTATCATTTTTTCTACTCTTTGTATAATTATATTTAGAGTAGTAGTTTTTTGGTTAAAACAATTTGGCGCCATCTGTGGGAAATCGTGCAAGAAATTTATTCTCCATGGAAGGAACGAGCAACGAGATGATGGCCAAGTTTCATAAGTAATTGGAGGCGATGAAGGAAGAAATCCGGTGTGAAATAGCTCAGCGGATTGCTTTTATCCAACAAGAAAATGACGTGTTGCGCTCTCAAGTGCAATCGATGGCGTCCATAGCTTCCAACTCAAGATTTAGCCGAAGAAGTGATGCCATGACAGCAGCTACGAGGCTGGAATTTGACCCCATTCCATTCTCGACCGAACCTTTTATCCGTCATTCAGCAGCCGACGCACCTGGAGATCCGGGGCCCTCAAACCGATCTGTTCCTCTCCAGATTTCCAGCAGGAACATGTTTCACAGTCTATTTCCGGAACCGCAGAGACGACGAGTTCCAGACCGTGTCGACATCCCTCGACATGTCGACATCCCTCGACACGTCGACATCCCTCTACATGTCGACATCAACAACCAGAGACAACAAGAGCCTGAAGTCATCGTCATATCCTCACCAACCAGGCATGATGTGACCCGAGTGACGACGCCACCAATCTCGACGACAAGACAGATGCAAGCATATCCGACAGACCCCTTATCCGTCATCATGGACGAGCTGAGGGAAATGCGAGAGAAGATCAATGGTATACCCGGAGTGCCACCTCCATTGGACGTCGCTTCACAGACATGCTACGCAGATTCCCCTTTCGGACGACACATCACATGCGTTGAAATTCCAAGGAAGTTTGCTGCCCCCTCGATGAGATTATTCGATGGAACTACTGACCCCCTGGAACACGTCGCTCAATACAAGTAGCAGATGCTTGCCACCTCGGTCAGACCAGAGCAGCGGGAGGCTTGTATGTGCAGGGAATTTGGGACAACATTGACAGGGTCAGCGCTGACGTGGTTCGTCAATCTGTCGAATGAAGGTGTCAGCTCATTTGTGGAGTTAGTCAACCTCTTCAACCAGCAATTTGCAAGCAGTCGGGTTCTGGAGAAGCAGACCAGTGATCTCTACTGTGTGGTCCAGAAACGCAATGAATCCTTAAGGGATTACCTCCACCGCTTCAACAAAGAGAGGTTTCAATCCCCCGATGTGACATACCAACAGTCATCGAGGCATTCAGAAGAGGTTTGTATGAAGATTCAGAGCTGTACCACGAACTGACGAAATACCCTTGTCGGTCCTTCGAAGATGTCCAAGCAAAGACGTTAGCTTTCATCCGTCTAGAAGAAGACCTACGATCCCGTCAAAGACAAATTGAGCACGAACAGGGCATAGGAAATCAGAATCTCCCAGGAGGCATGATTACAAGCATGGAAACCCATATTCGAGACCTGAGGATCAAGTCGTCACGAGATAGACCAGACGACATGATCGGAGTCGTCAGACGGGGGGCATGTCGTTCGATTCTAGGCGGGTTTTGAAAAGCTGCAATACGGTACCCTTAAAAGTTGTTTCATTTTTAGTTTATTATTTTCTTTTATAGTTTTCAGTCCTATGACGAGATAGATCAGACGACATGATCGAAATCGTCGGACGGGGGGGGGGGGGGGGGGGGGCATGTCGTCCAAAGACAGACAGCTTCTGAAGAGTTGTTTCATTTTTAGTTTGGTATTTTCTTTTACATATTGTTGTCACTCCTGTGACGGGCTAAACCCGACGACGTGACTGAAATCATCTGAGACGGGGGCATGTCGTCCGATGATAAACCTGACGAGATGATTGAAATCGCCTGACTTCAGACAAGTCCTGATGACAAGTATTTGTCTAGTTTTGTATACATACTTTTAATTTATTACTTTTGTTTACATATAAATATTCACTAACTTAAGCATCGGAGGGCCGTTGGCCAAAACCCAACGGCCAGACTTTGACGACATGATTTCGTGCAGGATATCGACGCAATAAGCACTTTGGCAACGATTACTACAAACTCTGAACGTGCCAACAGAAGGCACTCACACATACCCCCTACAACCTAAGAAGGGGTAGTAAGGTTAGCATGGGCCATTCATATTTGAAGTATGAAAAACAAACCCATGCGCCTTACACGTTTTGGCCAAAACGACAAAAGCACAAAACTACAGAAATACACAACAGAAGCATGTGCTCCAAGAGCACGACAACATAAGCTCCAAAACATAAGGAGACAACAATACAAAAGACATTGACATAAATTGTATATTCATGCCGACGATATTACTAAAATCATAAACGAAACAGAATTTAAAGTTTTTGCAAGGATTTTGACTACGTTCATGCAACCCGGCTCGCCATCTCTAGCAATGGACATGTCGACATCCCAGACATGTTGACACCCTAGACATGTCGATGTCGACCTGGACGAAGTTTCAACGCGTCAACATTTCCTAGTTATGATCATTAGAAGAAATTCGGAGGACGATGATAAGAGATCAGCTTTTGTTCTTCATGGCTTTAGTCAAAGAGACATATTAGATCAGAAACTACTTGCACGGAAATTAACGAAGTCGTCTCATCAGACGAGTGACGAGTTGAAGGAAACATGTCGTCAAGAAAGTGACGAGTTGACAAAAGCGTCTTGTTATACGAATGGCAGGTTGACAGCATGTCTCATCGGACAGATGACGGGTTTATATGGGTAATATTCAACGATGACAGATATAGACGTTTTCAAGATTTCGAAAAGTTGATGCTTAACGGGTTGACATGTGCGCCATACGCTTCAACTTCTCGAAAGGGGGCAATTGTTGGGACGTGAATATTTAGTGGGCACATTTGATTGCCACGTAATTTGTATATTTTTCATGTAAGTAAGCACCGTGTATTTAAGAGATAAACTTAACATTAAGGATAAAGATGAAGGAACATGGATGAGCTTTAAAGTAGGAAACAGGGGTGGCCACTTCAACTAATTCCTTATTCCACTCTAGAAGAATAGCAAATCAGTATGGGAGCTTCACCTTTAGTCGTATATATATAGTTGTAATATCATTGAATAAATGAGAGAGCACTATTGTATTCATACACACAAAATTCACTCTCTATTATTGCTTACACAATCCAAGAGTGATTCATATATTGTTATTATTATTATTATTATTATTATTATTATTATTATTATTATTTAATTATTAGAGTCTTGCACGATCCCTTATCATTTTTTCTACTCTTTGTATAATTATATTTAGAGTAGTAGTTTTTTGGTTAAAACAGACAGTATATTTCAGAAAATCATTTTACTATCTTCTCGATTGAACTTTTAGCGAAAATTTGGTATGAATAAACTAGACTTAATGAAGAAGATGCTAAAAAAATTCATCAAAACATTCCACCAGAAACCGCCCCAAATGGTGACATCCGAACAAAGCCTCATGTAAAAGAGCTTATATGCACTTTTATGAAAGTTCGAGGGCTTATTTGATAGTTCTCCCTTTATCTTTTGATTTAAAAAAACCTGAAATGGATGTTTTCGCACTCCCTCCGTCCCACTATAATTGTCCTATTTTTTCTTTTTCATCCATCCTACTAAATTTATCTCATACCATATTTGGTAATGTTTATGTGACTCTAATTCATTCTTATTTTATTACAACTTTATCAATTCATTTATCAACCACATAACTCTACTTTTCTTAAAAAGCGCACTGTAACACCCCCAAATTTCCCACCCAAAACGTTGATATAATTGAAATAAAACTTTGATTTATTGATAATGAAAATTTAAAGAAATACAGCGGAAGTCTAAAATAGGGAAATGGGTGTTACCGCCACATCCGGTCATCTCTCAACCGGATGCACAGACAACTAAAAACATAACAACTAATTTAATAAGAGTAAAGTGTTCGAAAAGTAAATGTTTATTTTATGACTAATATAACTAAGGCGACTTCTAACTCGCTCTCGGCCGTGCAAGCAATCATCACTCGACAACATCATCCTCACCTGCACAAATAAAGTGCAGAAACAAAACAAGGAAAAGAAAACAAAAATTAGCTTTATAGCTAAGTAAGTACTACCCAACCCCGTAAAATAATCATGTTTGACAAAAATAGAATTTTTATATAATAATATATAAAAATACTCACACCATCGAAATTCTTTTCACTTTGATTTTTATCAAGACTACTTCTTTACAAAAAAAATCCTCAACTTCTCTATAAAACTTCATAATAACTCTTCTCTTTGATTTCCTCAAAAATCACTTCTTCTCTAACTTCCTAGTAATTTAGAAGGGCGGTGCTCAACCTTTCGGTAGAGCCCGGTGGACCGTGGTTACGGACGGCCACCCCGAACAAGTGCCGGTACCACAACTGCTCTGTTGGAAACGAAATGACTACCTTAAGTGTGTGCACACCCCCTAAAAGGGATTCCAAGCCCCCCGAGTAGTAAGTCGTAACGAGTAGTCGGGACTCAGTCTACCAACTACCCCTGAATAAGATATTTTGAATGACTAGGGACTACTACTACCATAACTTCTTCTTAAAAAGGGATCATCGATCCAAATATCACTTTAAACTCAAACTGTACTTCTTAGTAGTAGCAGACCTAATCACCCTCCACATTTATCCGGACGTGGAAAACCGACACCACGGATTTCTCCCGTGATGCTCACCTCTTATAAAAATGTAAATTTTATCTTCAATAAATAATACTTCAAAAATACTTCTCAATTTCTCTAAAAAGTCTTGAAGGTATTTAAAAAATATTAAATACCCTAAAAGTACTTAATTTATATTTCTCAACTACCATATATATAATATCTCTTCAAAAATCACATACACAAAATTCAACAATTCACACTTATTCACATAATGCATAATAAGCATATAATACGAGGAAATAATTTTAGATTGGCAGAGAAACTTACCTCTAGTCCGGGTGCTCCTAATTCTCTTCTTCTACTCCGGTCTCTAAATAATCACCTTTTTAATTAAGATGATATAATTAGTCACTTACTCTTTAATAATTTTTTTACTCGATTTTTACCTTTTATTTTATTTTTCGAATTCACTAATTCAATTATTTTATTATCCGCGTTAATCACTTCTTATTAATTAAATTACCTTATTAATTCCGTCGTTAATTAAAATACTTAAATTCTAAAACATACGAATTTAATTAATTACAATATCAAATTTCTAATTTAATAATCATCTTTTTATTTACTCAACTCCTAAAGCATTTGGTATGTCTTAATATTATATCCGAATTATTTTTAATCTAGCTAATCAAATATCGAAATTAGTTTATATTAACATTATTAGCATTAATAAATCCGAATTAACTAATATATTCTGATTTTATTAATTACTTAAACACTTAATATTTTAAAGTCCGAAATTATGCAAATTTTATATTACTCTACCTTAATTAGTCCAATAATTAGTGAAAACAAAATCTACCAATTTATTTAATCTAATCATGATACCAAGTCGAAACAATTATTTTAATATAATATTCTTTAATGAATATTAAACTATAAATTCATTTCATCGATAATAAAAATTTTATTATTTAATTACTTAATTAGTTTTATATGGTCCAATTTAATAAAATAGCCAAGAGACGACTTTATAAATTAATAACCGTTCATAACTACATTTTGGTTCTATATTTGTCTTAGTTTGTCCAAATATTTATTTTATAATTCATTTTCCTTAATTATTCATTTATTTTCGTATATCAAATAACCGGTCCATTTACAATTAAATATACTAATATTAATTTTTATTAATTATAAATGGTCCATAATGTCTTAGTTAGTCTTATATTTATCCTAGTTTGCTCCAATATTTATTTCATAATTAATTTCGCATTTACTTATTTATTTACTAGTTGTGTACAAATTGGCCCAATTACCATTAAATCAATTAAAAATAGCTAAAAATATTATTTTTCAATTCTGGTTGGTCCGAACATGTATAATTACACCAGGTATTTAATTTATATTTTTCCAGATTTTATTTATTTCATTTACTATTTTATTTTTAATTTTTATTGCAACTGGGCCGAACTGGCCCAAATTTAATTTTTCTGGCCCAAAGATCAGGCCCAAGACAGACCCCAGCCTTGGCTGGGTCGTCTTCTCCATCTGACTCGCCGGAAAAATGTGGAAAAGAAGAAAAAAAATAGGGAAGAGGCTTACCTCGTCGGAAACGGCCAACGGGGTAGCGGTGCACTCCTCTCGGGACGGCGAAGGTCGGTGAAGGGTTGGCGGCGGCGACGGCGGCTCCTGCTCCTCCGTTTTCCGTCGGGAAAGTTTTCCGGTGAAAACTCCGGCGAGCGTTTTCTCCCTCGTTTCACGATCGTTTTCAATGATTCTTCTTCCGTTGGATTCCTCTCACGAAGGGGAAGGTCTGGGAAGCGTTTTCAGGGCTCGGTTTTGAGTCTAGCGATGGGTTGGAAAAATTCAGATATATATATATATGTATGCGTTTTCCGACGAGAAGTTTTGGGATGAAAGGCCAGGCACTTGATTCTGCTATTTATAGAGATGGCTGGGTGTAAAGCTTCTGATTCAGATCCTAAAATCCTGCTCCTAAGATTTTTTTTTTGAATGTTTCATACGTTGGAGGATTCTTCCTCCGTTATAATTTTTTTTTCAATTTTTTTTTCCTTTGTTAGTTTTGTAACTGATGCCTATAGTATAAATCTGTAGGTTAGAATCTGATTAAAAAAATATAGTACGTAATTGTTTTTTAATACGTATAGTATTATATATTTAGGAGTAAAAATGGAAATTGTGTTTTGTAAAAAAAAAATATAGCTTTTACTTCTTATGTCATATGTATAATTGGTACTTGATATAAAATATTACTTCTTTTATTGGACCATTTTTATCTGACTAAAAATGTCACAATTGTTAATTTTCTGTCTGGTTCACTTGTTTCCTAAAATGTTGTTCCTATTACTGAAATATTTTTATCTGACTAAGACGTCATAAATTTTGAAATTTTTATCTGATTAGAATGTTACAACTGTTGAATTTTTGTCTGACTCAATTAATAATTAAAATGTCACTTCCGCAATATTTTATGATTTATCTGGCTAAAAATTATTTTTATTTATTTATTTTTATTTTTATTTTTAAATTTTTGGAGTGTCACATTCTACCCTCCTTAAAAGATGTTTCGTCCCGAAACATTACTATATCTAAATAATCAAATTCTTAAGTGTTACATTCTACCCCTCTTAAAGAGAGGTTACGTCCTCGTAACTCAAATTTTACCTTGGTCAAATAACTCTGGATAACGCTTGCGCATATCGTCCTCAGTCTCCCATGTGGCATTTTCGGCCAAATGGTTAGACCACAACACCTTCACCATCTTAACCGCTTTTCTTCTAGTCTCACGGGTCTTAGTATCCAAAATCTGGATCGGCCTCTCCTCGTAAGTCAACGATTCATCCAACTCGACCACCTAAAAAGTCGAGGTTAGATGTGATACTTGGATCTAATAATTATCATAAGGTTACGATTCGTACCTCGGGGCTAAGAATATGGGATTCGTCGCGGACATACTTCTTCAATTGGGAGATATGGAAAACGTTGTGTACCTACGCATAGCACACTTTAGGTTTTGAGAGATACTTACTAAGGTATTCACTAACGAGCGGTTATAGTATGTTATACCTTAGCCAACTCGGTGGGTAGAGCTAGCCGATATGCCACTCTTCCCACTCGCTCGAGGATGTCATATGGGCCAATGAACCTCGAGCTTAGCTTTCCCTTCTTTCCAAACCTCATTATTCCCTTGGTCGGGGAGACTCTGAGTAGGACTTTTTCTCCCGCTTCAAATTCTGCTGGCTTCCTTCTCAGGTCTGCATAAGACTTCTGACGATCTTGTGCAGCTTTCATTCTTGCTTGAATCGTCTTCACTTTCTCTATGGTGTCTTGGAGGTACTCCGGCCCTAACACCACTTGATCTTCCATGTCACCCCAGCATAGTGGGCTTCTACACTTTTGACCATATAGAGCTTCGTACGGGGCCATTTTGATACTGGCATGGTAGCTATTGT